TTTCACTGTGGAGCGAACGCAGACGATGCGGACCACACCCTGGTCGACTGCCCTGCGTGGATGGATGAGCGGGACGGTCTTGTTAGGGACTTGGGGGGGAGTGCATGTCTCCCTCTCCGACATAGTCAGGGCATCCATGGATATGCCGGGGGGGTGGGCTGCATTCCGGTCCTTTGCAGGACGCGTGATGCGTGCAAAGGAGAGTGCCGAGAGAGAGAGAGAATGGGCGAATGGGAGAGGGTTGCGTGCGAGGCCGCAGAGGAGACTCGCTCCTAGGCGGCCCCCTCGGGCGAGGCTTCACGTGACTCGGGCGGCGAATGGCTGACGCCTGTGCGTCGCTTCCCCCTCATGGAGTGTAAGTATGGTATGAGAGTGGAGTGGGCCTGACCAGAACACCGTTTAATGTAAGGTCAGGCCAGGAGTAGGTGAGTAACTTGCGCCTCCAGTGGGGTTCGTACCCAACTGTTGAGTGCGCCTAGGTGTGGGAGATAGCGCCTTCGGGGAGGAAACTCTACTGTCGAGAGCGCCGGATGCAGGAGTTATGGGTGTGAGTGTGAGTGTTGGAGAAAGCGTGGCGAATTTCCGGCCGGGCTTGTTAGGGGAGAGGCACATAGGTATTGGATTGTACTCATCGTGCGTTGCGCCTGCCTCCTCCCCTCGCGGGAGAATAAGTTTCAGGAGGGTTTTTTAGTCAGTAAGAATCTGACACTCCCTTGGACACCGGGCCCAGGGGGCCTATGAAGGTTTTTCCCTCATGACGTAAAAAAAAAAAAAAAAAAAAACAAGGGTTGCGTCAGGGTTGCGTAAGGTAGGGTAAATAGTATCGACGATACAAATAAAAAACTTATTATATTCTTACAAGTAATGTATATAAACAAAAAATATTCTAAAACTCGTGAATTTACAGCCACGACCTATGATGGTAGGGACCTATGATGCCAATTAGAGGACAAGTTCTTATGCCCACATGCAGCAGATTACATCCTTTATTAATAGGACCCATAAGACCATTTCCACCATGTTTCATGCCACCCAATGTATTTAGACTAGGTCCGCCATCCAATTATAGTAAAGGCTTTTCTTATTTATAATAAGCTTTTCAATGATAATAATAATTGTACTTAAAAGAAAACTGTTTATTCTCAGGGTTTGGACCAATGCTTTAACAGGATTTATTGTTAGGAGAAAATTTTCTAACAATTTTATATTTACTAAATACAAGTATTTTATCATATGCAACTTATGTAATCTATTAAAAAAAAAACGTGTTACGTTAAAATAACGTAGTATAGATATTGTTCGATGAAATAAAATCATTTACATTAAATTACGGAAAATAATGAATTTGAAATAAAGCGCTTTTTTAAGCGAGCTAATCATATATCAGTAGTTGTTTATACAATAATATACGAGCCTATGACGATTTGATTTTGATTCTCAACCAATTACGATTCAACATACGGCTCTATGCATCATTACACCAATCACAACTGTACTTCTGTTGTCCGCTTTACAAGCCAATCAGCGGGCAGTGATATCTTGGCGCCAAATACTTGAACAAGATGGCGTGAGTTTTTCGGATCTATCGTCGTGCGCTCCTTTAATTAAAGCGTTTAACAAATGTCTAGGTAAGATATAATCGCCATTAATTTATATAATAATAAACATTCGATTAAGCTTTATATTTCTTATATTCTTATATTCTTATATTTCTTTATATTCTTTGGCTTATCGGTATAAATCGATAAAATTTTTCCACTCTTAATTCAACTTTTGTGCAAATCAAACTTATCCCTCTGTAAATTAAATTCAATCTTTTTCAAATTAAATTCATAGATCTCTCATGCAACAAAATATTTAAAAATTAATATATTTATTTCAAAATTAAATAATGAAAAATAAAAATACCATTTCCTTTCTACTTTCAAATAGTAAGTTTCCTAAATTTAACAAATGGAGGCGCAGCTATCACGTTATTGGCTATCAGCTGATGCATGCCTTATGACTTTGAATAAGTAATCGATGAATTGTGTATGGTATAATAAGTTAATCGAAAAAATAATCGAACGATATTATATCTTTATTTAATTACTTTAGTTGTAAGAAATTAATAGATACGAAAGATTATAACAAAAGACAAGTGTATCTTGGATATAAAAAGAAACGAAACAGCAAGTATATTATAGCTATGTTCGGTCGTATATTTGGATCAAATTTTCGTAAGATTTCTGTAAGTAATAAAAAATGATCAATTAAATGTTATACATATTTTATTTGTATTGTATAAAAAAAAGAAAACATGTTTGATATTACATATTTTCTAATCTTTAACAATAATCCTTAATTAGAGACATGTTTAGATTTCCCTTAAATTAATATTTACATGCCCCGTAACTACCTTCTCCTTTAGTAATCGTTCCCAAAGAAAATGAGGAAGTCCACTAAAACGAAAGTGTTTCAGTTATTGTCACGAGTATGGAATGGACCTAATGGTGCACTTGCTGGCAAACAGGCAGAACAAAAAATGATTTCCTTATTACGAAACAAGTTTCCTAAAGCTCAACTTATAGAAGTAACTGACGTTTCTGGTAAACAATATATAAGAAATACTTTATCGGTCTTCCTCTCACCTATTTTAATATTAGATGCAAGAAAATGAAATTTAACTAAGTTCCTTCTTTCTTTTAGGTGGTTGCGGTGCTATGTTTGAAATCAATGTTATCGCACCGGAATTCAAAGGTTTAAACACGGTTAAACAGCATCGCTTGATAAATGAGGTAAAAACAAAACATTATAGTATAATAAATATTAACTGTTTATTTTGAAAGTGGCAAAGTCACTTTTTCAAAATATTTATTTGCAGGTACTTAAAGAAGAAATCAAAGATATGCATGGTATACGAATATATACCAGAATACCAGACACATAGGAGGAAATTAATTATAATAGATTTTGAGAATTTTTAAACGCAACATTTATTGATCTTTATGTTTGTTCTTAAATTTTATAATACTTTTTGAAAATTTTACTCGAATACATGTGTATTAATCGATATAAATTATTATTTTCTTTTTCAAAAAAGAAAAAGAGAAAAGTAAAGAAAAAAAAACGACAGACAACGTAATAAACATTTGTAATTGTTTTCTTTATTTTCTAATAGTGAATTTGTGATTAGCCGAGTTAAATTTGAATAAAAATTCTTTTTAAATTTCCCTCCTCCGTCAGATGGAGCAATCGAACTCGAAATCGAATAGAGGCGCGCTTATTTTATTCGAGTTTACTAACCTTACAGTTAACCGTTATGATTTGTGTGTATGTGTTTTTGTTGTTATTTAAAACACATTAAACATGAACGTGTCCGGAAAAATTCTTTACCAAAAAGTCGAATATTTAAGACCAGATTTGTCTACTAGTATAACATCTGACATATTTGATAAAATATGCGATATATCAACGGTCCAACCTTTTTTAGAATGGTTTTGCAATAATGTCAGTCGTGCTAATGTATTATCCAAAGAAGAATTATATCTGTAATATAGTTTTTTTTTCATTTTTTTTATTAATTATCTCGATTTTTATTTATTACATTTGAATTATTTACATTTTACAAATTATCTTATAGAAAAAACAAATTAGAAAATACGGAAGAATGGTTAAGTGGAAAAGAATTGGATGAAGCACTCGAAGAATTAACTCGCGATAATCCAGAATTATTGAAATTAATTCATTTCGAAGACGAAAATGTCAACGAAAAGTTTGCCGAATTTGAATCATTGAAAGATCTTTACAAAATGGATGGAGATTATGAAGAATTATTAAAGAATAATATATTGAATTTAAAGTAAATAGTTATGTGTTTGTATATATATATATATATATATATGTATACGTTTAAATGTAACTTATACAAAACTTAATCTAACAAAATTTACTTATTTGTAGAGAATTAGAATATTCATTGGAAGATGAAATAGAACAAGAAGAGAATAATTATGAAAAGGAACAAATAGAACTATTCAAAGCATTCAATGATTGCAATGATATTCTTGAAAAATTTGATGAACAAAACCGCAGTTTTTCTAGAGAAACTGAACAGCTTCTCGGTGTCTATACGGATGCAATTGAAAATGTAAATAATTAATTGTAATTTTATTTATTATTAGATTGTATAAAAAGATTAATGTATTTTTTTTTTTTTTGTATTTTACAGAAAGGATTACCAATATTGTGGATACAAATGCCCATCGATTTGTTCATCAAACAAATCAAGCTTTACAATGATTACTTGGATATACTGATTAAGCGACAATTCAGTTTAGATGATCAAGAGGTAGAACAACAACAAAAACAACATGATTCAGATTACGAAACCTTTATAAACGACAGTAAAGAAAGACAAATCTATAAACATACGCAAGAATTGGCGGCATGCAAATTAAAGTATTTTCTTTCTATTCGTATATGATTAATAATATCATTTGTGAAATCTATTCAAATATGTAAACTATTTAATACATTTACAGACTTACCAATTCAAAGTTTGAAGTAGTCTACATGAAAATGCGTGAAGCCTCTTGCAGAACGATGCTTGAACATACTCGTTTAATATGGAACGATGGAAATTTAAAAGTACCCGAGCAAACCCATTTACTGTGAGTTAATAAAATAAATATAAATGGCGAATATATTCTATTTGATTCTATTTAATTAAATGTTAGAGACGAGATCGTGGACTTGGCCAGAAGAAGAGATTTTTTGGAAGAGAATATTACTCTTTTAAGAGAACGGCAACTTCCAGAAGTTATAGAACAATATGTAGAGACTGCAATAATTCAAGTTTTACAACAAACCTTACTAGTCAGATTGAGACGAAGGCAAACTCGATTTGAAAAGTTAAAATCTTTGTTGTCTTTCACTCGTGAACATGGTCATGTTTATTCAGATTTATTATGCATATTAATGGATTCTCAATTTCATTCGCTCAAAGAGATATCCGAATTTATTGCTAATGCTCGTCATTATCTAACCACAGAATATTCTCTTTCTTCTTCGCGTTGCGTAAGTAATATTTCTTTTTATTTTTATTTAATAAGATTTATTGATAAGACAACTTAATTAAGTTCTATAGTTGAATAATATATTTCTAATATATCTATAGAAAATTATGCAACAACAGCAGAAAGAATATGCCGTACTTCAGGGTTCCATTATCAATCAAAATATCTTCAACGAATTATTTATATCCATGATGTCAATCAATGATGTTTCTTCCGATGCATTAAATCATGCACTAGTCAAATACAACGATCTAATATCAAATAATAAAGAAAAGAAACAATTTATATTCGATACTTATATAAAGGATGAAATCAATAGGGTATTGTTATCGTAAGTAATATTAGTGTCTTATTATCTTTATAACTTTAAACAATTTATTATACAAAAATTCTTTCAATCAGGGAAGAAGAAGTATTGAGTAATTACGATAAAGAAAGAAATATTGGAATTACTAGAAGCTTTGTACCCCTTTCATATGAATTGAATGTGCAATATCATAAAACATTGGACCAATTTGAAAATGTTAAAACAAATTTAACGACAGTGAGGAACGCGTTAAAAGAAAAAATGGTAATGACTATTAATTACATTAACCATTTTAAATCTCCCAGTCTTTAGAAAATAATTAATTTAACATAATTTTAAATGCAACGTATTAACCATATACGTTTAAAATTATCTTCTTTATATATATATATATATCTCCTTTATATATAATAGTCTTCCCCTTTTCTTTTTCTTATCTAACACAAATTTTCAGAGAAACAACAATCATTTGGAAAAAGATAAAGATATTTTGTGGCAAAGATTTTTAACCGATCCCGAAACGTTAAGAAAGAACTACGAAGAGACTAAACGAATGGCGGATCGATCACATTTTGGAAAGGATACTAGAGTTTAATAAGACTTTAAATAAAATAAGCGCGTATAAGACTTAAAAGAATATTTTTATTACAAAAAAAAGAAAAGAAAGAAACAAACAAATATACATATATATTTAGTTACTAAACAATTGAATGATTGAACATAAAAGTAAAGCAATATAATAAATATTTTTGCATTCGACACTGTTTCGGATGTTACTTTACCAGCAACTCGATGCCACTTGTTTTGCAAAAATGTACACCCTGGAATCGTGATATTATATAGTACAACTTTAGAATCAAGTAAGGCATTGTAATGAGATTTGGTTTATATGTATTTATGGACATTGAAGAACACATATTTACAAAAAAAAAATTTTAATTTATTTCTTATAATTTTATACAGTATATATGGTCAATTTCGAAGCAATTCCCAATATGCATAGCAGGTTTATTTGTGCATGTTTCACAATAAAATATTGCTTTTTCCCTTCAACCTGGTGTTTTCTTGCCAGAACAAACAATACAATCCCGTTTTCTTTCTCTCACATTTGGAATATGTAGTTTATTATTCAGTCTATTGTCTGACAAATATGTAAATGTGGACGTGTTCTTCGAGGTTCTCGAAAATCACCTCTCAATTACTTTACAAGATTTTTTACAAATTTGTGATGTGTCATTGGTTTTTATTGTTTTCGATAAACTATGAAGAAATTTATAACGCACATTTCTAATACCCAACAAAATCATTTCTTCCACCATTTCAAACATTTCCGCATAAAACAATACGTGGAGGCGTATTGATCAGCAAGATCCACACCGCTCATATTTGTTGTATAAAATCCAGAATCATTTGAGGCTTATCAACTGATATAATATTTCCACCGTGTAATATTCTGGGGGGAGGGGGAGGGGGAGGTTGATTGCATTCCTGCATTATTTTAATTGCTGAGCATTATGACAATTCTTTTATCTTTCTTTACGCAAGAAGCGTAATATTATTTTTTTCTAAATGCAATTGTTGTTCTTTTTTTGTTGAAAATTTGGATTTTCGAATTTGCAAGTCTTTTACTTATTTATTTTTACTCTGCCAGACATTTCATTATTATTAATTCTTCTGCTAATAGAATGCTGGTATAATATCTATCAGTGTACATATGGTATCCTTGTGCATCAAGAACTTTGTCTATCAACTTTTTGTATAAATGCAATGGAATTCTTGTGCTTACTGGAAGAGATCTTGCCTTCTTCACTACTGCTTACATCAGGAGGAGACTCACACTGTTGTTTGGCCGTTTTGTCGATTTTTATCAAAAAAAGAAAAAAACGTAATGATTATAAAATATGAAAGAAATGGTATTGGAAATGACTAATGGTAAATTACGAAATCACAACACTGTTTTATTACTGCCTATTATACTATTAAACGTTTCAATACGATCTGAGGTATTGTCAATTTCTTTCCCTCATTTACAGATTTCTTTATTATCTTATCAAGTTTCCATATAACATCATTGAGCTATACTCGTATACCTTTGTTACACTATATTTACATATTGCTAATAACGGATTAGAGAAATGTGTAGTCCATCTTGAACGCACTAAGCATATTCTCTTTCTACGAAAAACCAATGAACATTTATTTATCATTCATCTTGATAATTTTTATCATATTTTTTTTTTGATTTTATTTGTGTTTTCTTGTGCCATTTTAATTAAAAAAAAAAAACTGCTACTACAGGAAAATATGTGTTTCTTCAAAACATTGCGATGGATAATAGGTTTATTTTACTTAATCGCTAATAAACTTTCATGTTCCCCTCTCAGAGGAGACAACCGAGTGATATGCTGGATTTACGTTGTCCCTTCTGAGGGGACAACCGAGTGCAAAGGGTTAAAACAGAGAGAGAGAGAGAGAGAGAGAGTGAGTAAGTGAGTGCAGTTAACGGTGAGACCAGAATGCTCAACGTTTATTCAGAATGAGTGATTGTGATGACGGCGGGGTGGGGGAAAAGGAAAAAGGGAGGGAGAAGTTGAGATGGTTTTGGTAGGGGAATGTTATGAAGGATCTAGGTGGGGATGTAAATAGAATGATGAAAGAAAGAAAGAAAGAAAGAGAGAGAGAGAGGGAGAGAGAAAGAGAGAGAAAAGTTATGTGGAACTGGGACGTGGCTATGGAAGAAAAAGAAGAAGTGGTGGTGGTGGTGGTGGTAATGGTCGTGGTGGTGGGGTGGTGGTGGGTAGTGTAGGGTATTATCGATTCGCCGGGGCTCGCAAGTTAACGGTTTGTTTACAAGATCGTGGAGGGGAATATATGCGCGCATGCGCTACGTGGCCAAAACAATAATAACATAGTAGTAAAGAAGAAGGGTTCATGGCTGATGGACGAACGTGTATTATTATCGTCCCAGAATAAGTCTATAACAAAACTAAATAACTTGATAATATTCTTCTTTATTGTCTCTATGTGTATTATTAATCTCAATTATTTTTATCTTATTGTATATTAAATTAACAATATTATATTTTGTTTAGATATAAACAAAGAAAGGATAAAAATATTATATACTCTATTTATTGTGAGTGAAAGAGAGTCTCTCTATGTGTATACATTTAAAACGTACAATCAATGAGAGAATTGTTCCTGTTGAATCGATACAAGTAATATAATAAACGTGACTATAATAATAATAATAATAATAATAATAATAATAAAAAGAAAGAGAGAGTGTATGTTAAAGATGATAACGATAGTGAGATGATGAAACATCGAGGTTCTAAATCAAAAGAATAAATTGGGATCTAACTGAGAGAGAAGAACAGTTTTTTTTAAACAAACAGTGGTATTAGACTGTGTACGTTGAGAAATAGAGAAATATTATATAAAAGGTTACACTAATAATATCTATATATATATATATATATATATAGATATATATATATGAAAACATAGCGTTTCTCTTTTCATAACAAGCTTTGTATTTCATCGATAATTACAACGTGTGTGGGTTTTTTATTTTTCTTTTTACGATAAACATCCCACATTAAAGAAGAATAAGAATAAGAAGGAAATCAATAATAAAAGGAAATTTTGTTAAATTTCAATAGAAATAAGAAACGAGGAAAAATAAATAAATAATACTTTACAAAAGGATAAAAAAAATTAAATATATATATATATATATATATATATATATCGAGCGTATTTATCGGATGAATCAGACTTTGTGGTGTCCAGCAAACGTGCTTGAAGAAGAAGGAGAAGGAGGATAGTCATCCAGGTCGTGGAAGTGGTGGTAATGGATTAGTAGTAGAGCTACTAGTGCTACTGCTGATTCTCTCCTAGTATTACTCTGGTGGTAATTGTGCGCGAGTGTTCGAGCGCATGGTCAGATCGAATAATTGACTGTGGTAGTAGTGGTGGTGGGTGGTAGTATGGTGGTGTATATTCCAATCTCCGGCATAACAGAGCAACGTGATCTCACTATCGTCGCGTGAACAACACAACAAATTTCTTATTTTAGTGTATATGTTGATGTCTATATGTGTGTGTGTGTTTATCTCTTCTATATAACAATTTATATTTATAATAATAAATAATATCAATGTGGTCTATACACGCGTGTGATGATATGTAATAAATAAAACACGTTTGCGAATAAGAATGTTAGTGGAAGAGGAGGCCTTGTTCTTATACAATACACGAGGTGAAATGTAAAGAGAGTACATTGATCGATCCAAGCTACGCAAACAAGAGAAACCTTACGTATGTGTATATGTATCTTACATGTTATAATATACGTGTATGAGTGAGAAAATAGTCAAGGAGGCGGCCGGTTCTGTTGTAAACAAAGAATCGATCCAATCGTTTTGAAAGCATACACACACACACACATATATATATATATATATATATACATATATATAAATATATTTATAACAGTATATCGAGTACCAGTTTCTATTGTGATCATAGTCAAATTCTTTTGAAATCCTTTGAAGTGGATAATAAAAGGATTCTCGTTTAAGAGAAATTATCATTTTCCAAGATGCCAACCGCTCAAGACACGACTACGTACCTGATCGAAGTGATGCCAGGAGAAACAACTCAGGATTTTCTTTCTCACGACGTTGATCTACTCGTATCGCAAATAAAGGAAAATTTACGATTAAGCGGATTGAAAGCTAAATCTAGCACAGTTAATAGAAATCGAGCAACACCATATCGGGTACCATCGTCCCGTTCATCTTGGGCCGATTCTAACGGTTGCGATCTTTGTAATGCACAAAATCGAACTGATAAATTAAACGGTGCTCAAATACAAGAGGGTTTAGATCAACAACAACAACAGCAACAGCAACAACAATTAATTCATTATCAGCCTGAATTTTGGCAACAACAACAACAACAGCAGCAGCAGCAGCAATGTTATCATCGGTATCATCATCATCATTGTCAACACAGTCATCATCGTCATCGACATCGTCATCAACGTCATCATCTTCATCATAATTGTTCAAACAACGACAGAGAAGACGATCCTTATGAATTGTTACAAGAACTTTTACGAGGAGGTGGTTTGATCAAGGAAGCGGTCAAACGATTAAAAGCTAATTTCGTTGAATATAAATGTTCAATGGATAACAAACTTCAAGAGGATGACGATGACGACGATGACGATGATGATGACGATGACGATGATGAAGAAGATGACGAAGATGACGAAGAGGATGTTGAGGATGTTTTAGAAGATGGAATGGTTATCAATGGTGCGAAGGAACGTTCTATGGTGTATCGGAGGAAACCTTATTTCTACGATTCCGAAGACGAACCATTGGTTTACGAATCTTTCGAATTATGAAAGAGAGATAAGAGACGATTTAAAGTGTAGAAGAAGAAGAAGAAGAAGAAAAAGAAGAGCAGAAAAAATAATAATAATAATAATAATTTAATTTATAAAGACAATTATTATTCGATTGTCTTGATTTTTCTTTTTTTGTCTCGATTCGAATTCTTCATCAATAGAAGAAGAAGAAGAAAAAAAAAAAA